TAATTTTTAAAGATTTTTCCAAACATTTGGTATTTTCAAAACAAAATGTTTAATTCAGGTTTATTGAACATTGTTAATACATACCTATGCAAATATTATAATTCATTGGTTCAACTTCTTAAAATTGTCTCTGCTTACAGTGAAATTAGCAACTTTAGTAACAGGCTGTAAAAAAAATGTATAGATATATTTTTAAATATATTGTGAAAAAGTTTTAAAAACATTATTTTGTTCTAACAAAATTAGCGACCTAGTATTATGAATATGAACTAAGACCGAGTAAAATAATAATAAGTTAATTTTTGTTTTTTAATGTGTTTGTTTTAATAATACAAAAATATTGTATTGAAGCACTAAAACGTTAAGTTTTTACACAACAAATAATAAATAATAATTATAGATTACTCGAGTTCTTATATAAACAATACTGGTAGTAAAATTGTATCGATTGAAGCATAAAAGATTCCCACGATATAAACCTTCGATCATGTTGTACTATGCAATTTCAATGTTACATATATACATTTCTCAGGTAAAAATAAATATAAAAACAGTTTTATGTTTCGCCGGTTTGACACAAATCACAAACATCAAATTAAATCAGCATAGTATAATACATAAGAACTAGGCGTCCTTGTGTATCTATCGTGGAAACGGAAAAATTGTGTGTTACAACTTACAACTATGAGTACCTACATAAAGGCTTTTATAAAAATACCTATATTTATAGGTAATTTTTGATTGCAAGTACTATAAGATCGTAAGGAATAAACTAATATATTAAGGGAATTGAAAGTGCTCTGTTGTTTTTTTTGACGTTTTAGACCAAAGAGCCTGACAAATTTCTGCGGTTAGGACGGCCTGATATAAATTCTGTAAAGAGATATGTTTTTTGGCTCCTTTACTAAGTTTTATCGTAAACGGATTTTTAATTTTTTATGTACAAAAATTGTTTTTTTTTTAATTGAAAAATGTACAACTTTAATTAATTTAATTACTAGAAACTAAATTTTTAAAATTAAAATCTAACTAGAATCTCTTTACAATATTGACATCTGATCATTCTAAGTAGAACTTAGTAATTTTGTCAGGCTTATAGGTCTAAAATAAATCAAAATGACGTTTACATATAGAAAAAAATACATAAATAAAAAATAATACTTTGAAGCTTATACAAATTAACAAGAAAATTAATTGAAATAATCAAAATTTATTAAAACAAATTTTTTCATTTAATATGCTTAAATAACACTCCTTAAAAACCGTCCGCTTTCAAGTACTATCCTAATCGTAATTTTTTTACAAAAAATTGGTTTTTAATTAAGCCATCGTTATTTGAATATGACAAACCAAAACATAAAAAGAATCCATTTTAAAATTACTACACATATAAAAAATTCATATACATACAATTCAAAGGTCCACGAGAATAATAATTTTCCATCTTAAATAGACACGTCGGTCTGTTATTTCAGGTGTAATACAAATTTTGTATCCAAAACGCCCCTGGTGTACGTCGCACAATATTGTTGTCTAAATGCAACCAACATAAGCGAAATAAGATGGTAAATAACTGACAATAATAAAAAAAAATGCTAATAACGTTAAAAACAGGCGCTACGATAGTCTAATGAACAATCAATTATTCACTAAGACTCAATGAGTTTAACGGCGCCACCGGTAGGCATCACTCTGGGCGGCTGCCCTTTCTCGCTCACAACTCGTCATTACTGTACAAATAATAGTACACAATTTTTTTTAATTAAGATTTTGACGGAAAAAAACACTACAGGTGTTGTGTCTCCTGTAATCAATTTTTAGATGAAGTAAAAAAAAAAGAGATTTATTTTGGGAACCCAACTTCATTTTTACGCCAACCCGTAAATTATATTAAACACTTCTTTTTAATTACATTTTTAATTTAAGATCAACCAACAAGATACAATACAAAAGTACAAATGCCTAAAAACTAATGCTTTTTCACAAAAACATTTCACTTATTTAAATTATAGTTGTAATTATTTTATTTCTCCTACTTTTTTTTTTTAATACGTTTACACTTAGCCGTGTTAATACTTACCGAACTACTTAATATAAAATAATAAGCATTATTAAAAAAATTATATGAAGTTAATTTATAATATTTCCTAATAAATGGATACCGATTATCGCATAAAAGTATAGTAGGTTACATAATATACTAAAATTAGGAGTTAATTTTGTTCTCACGTTATTTCGAAAATGCATGCCATCTGTTTTCAAGGATTTTTGTACAGGCAATGTTCAGAAATAAAAAAGTTTTAATAAATTTCGACCATGTCAATTAATTTACCGGTTAATTTGTAAAGATTCAAGATATTATTTTTAATTTAAATAATTTTTTCTATGAATAAGAGCCATTTTGGGTTATTATAGACGATTTTGGCCAGACAAAATTTCGTCTACATAGGATGGTCTAATATCAATTCTGTAAAGAGATAGAGTAGGTACTATGGCTACTTTACTATGTTACTATGCTATGTAGAAGGCCAATTTTCATTTAAAAGTTCTAGTTTCTTGTAATTAAATTAATTAAATTTGCCAATAATAAAACCCTATTTTTTTACATAAAAAAAGCAAAGAAACAAAAATCTGTTTCCTACATAACCTAGTAAAGTTACCAAGAACTCGTATATCTTTACAGAGTTGAAATCGTACTATCCTAAGTAGTCGAAATTTTTTCTGGCTGTTTGGTCTTAAGCGTCAAAAAACAAACTGCATCCCCTTAACGTGACAATAAAATATGTTTTACATTTATTTGGTTATTAGTTATTACGTATTAATATATAATATAGTATTAATTACTAATCTGCTACACGAATAAATAAATAAAACGAATTTTTTTTTAGCTATCAAACCATTTTTTTATTACCTGCTTACTTAACTTATAGTACCAAAACATTAAATAATAATATTTCCAGAGAATACCATACCTACCATGTCTTAAGGGGTTCAGTATAGGCAATTTTTTATTCAAAAAAGTTTTCCAGCCGAGTCTGCAACCACGAAAGAGCATTTACATGTCTCGTTGAAGTACCGAGATAAATTTAGAGTAGTGGTGGAATTATAAATAATGATATAGTATATTAAGAAGCAGTAACAAGCTAGTATATTAAAACATCAAGTTTCTGGCTAATATTGTAGTGTTTAATATTTGGCTTAAAACAGTTCATAGAGAATTTGGGCCCTTAATCTGTTTTGAATTTATTATTTAGTTCTAATTTGAACGTTAAACGTACAACATATCTCTTATCTACTATATCTCCTATCCCTACCCCCTATCTCTCCCCCTGTAACGCTTTTCCCCTACCCACTATCTCCCACCCTATCTCCTACCCCCTGTAACGCTTTTGTAAAGAACGCTTTTTTCGGTTATGTGCCAGAGCTAATACCCACCCCCATCTACTTTTTCTCTATTTTAATTTTTAAACGTATTTTCCTGTTTTAGAACTTAAGATCTGAAAATGCTATGTATGATTGAAATAATAGACAAAAGAAAATTTGGTTTATTACATGTTTCTGGGAAAACACCGTTTTCTTCATGTACTTATTTGGACCAAAAAAGTTCACTCCTTCCCCTACAAAATCAAGAAAACCAACTAACAACTAACTAACCAACCAACATACTCTATAACTTTTTTAATGATTCTAAATAGTCTAATTAGTTCCATTTCCCGAAGAAGGGGTGGAAACTTTTTCTTATCGAGCGTAGTTTTAAAACTTAAGGTCTGAAAATTAAACCGAAAGTAGGAGTGTGGCTATAATAAATAAAATTTCCTTAAAAATCTGTAGTCATTTTTTTTTTTTTTTTGGAAAAAACCAACAAGAAAAGAAGAAAATTGCACTTGGTCCATTTTAAGTTTTTATGTTTGAGTGAATCAACATTCAACAGTTGTTTAAATATATTATTATTATACTGTTAATTTTATGATTTGCGATATATAGGTAACAACGGCAACAAATTATATTAGACAATTAACCCTAATTGTATCTTCTCTAAGGTAAAATTATTTCTGCAGTCCCGTGCCCTCCCCTCTTCAATATGTTGCGTTTCCACCGAACTGGCTTTTTATTATAATATTAAATTATATAATTATTTAAACATAAATACTAGCTACATATTACATAAATCATCAACAAAAACCGACAAATTACATTTTTCTCTTTGTTACTACTTTAAGCTTTTCAATTTATGCATGGTGAACATTATATATTTATACTATAACATTGGTGAATTATAAAATTACACGTATTGCATTTTTGAATGACAGCAACAATAGGGTTCTAAAATTTTACACCCAACAAACAAAATAAAACAATTGACGAGTTGCCAGTTTTTTACCTAATATTTCTACCTAATATTATTAAGGTTGTACTACACGTTAAATATTTAATATTACAATTATTTCATGATTAAATTTAGTCAAAGCCTAGTTTACAAAATATATAGCCCAGGACAAAATACAAAATTTGGTCTATAGGCTATAATGTAGGCAAATAAAAATATACATCTCACTTAATATTAAGACCCTCACAAGTCACACCTTAGAAAAACTATTTTTACCAGTCATTGCCAATACAATGATATCGCTCGTTGGGAAGTATGGCAGCATCACATACAGTTATAACACCCTTATCATACTAATATGACCATACAAGTATTTATTTTCTATTCTATGTTTATGAATTATGATTTATGAAAAACATTATTTTAATTTAACAAAATATATTACATACAGGCAATATGGGCTCAAGAAAAATGTCTATTTTGTCCTTGTGACACTGCATTTAACTAAATAAACTTTTATTTGATAATATAGTTGTCTCTAGTTTACACACAGTTTAAACTAAAATATACTATTATTTACAAGTATTTAAAAGTACCTTAAAAACAATGAATTAGGAACAAAAGGGTCGGTTATTTATACTATGTCAAGTATGGGTAATTTGTATATTCTAAATTGAAGAAAATTAAAATAAATATATATTATCCAAATACTTATTTATAATTACATATTTATAAAATTAAATTTTCAGTCTGATTACAAAAACAAAAAATTTTACAACTAGTTACTTATTTTAACAGCTACTTACTAATAACAAAATACAAAAAAAAGATAAATATTAATAATATTGTAAATGTTATGTATATTTAATTTGAATTATTAGTATTAAAGAATATAACATCATCAGCAGCTATTGATGTCGTTGTCCTAGAATTACCTGACTCATCTTTAATCTCTCCATATATTAGCCTGCCACTTACAAAGACACGTTGTCCTTTTTGCATAAAATTATAAACAGAATCTCGTAAACCAGGCCTGAATACAACTACTCGATGCCAATCTGTTTTTTGAGTGTTCTCTGCAAATATTTTTAATGCATTAATAAGAAAACAAATTTACTTTACTGGACACCCTTTTTTATGACTTTTTTTTTGTCATCTTAAAGTGTTTTTATTTTATGCTGATTACAAATCTGAAGTAAGAAATTGGCAGACTCCTCTAGTTCAAAAGTTATAGCTACCTGAACTTTTCATATATAACAGCAGGCGGCATGTGGTAATGGTAGGAGGCGGTTAGGGGCCTCTACATGGTACAGCTGTTGTCGGCAGCGAGAATTGCAATTGAAAAAAACTACATTTTGTTTCCAATTTTAAAAAATGAACATAATACTCTATCAACTCAGTTAGGTTACCTACTAACCTGATACTGCTCTGGAAGCGTCAGCAACCTAACGAGACCGAACATAACGTAACCTAACCAACCCTTCAAAATAACAAAAAATAATAGGCAAGTATGTAAATGTCAGGACGTTAATGTCTGCCGCCACACACCGCCTACTGTTATATAAGTGGAAAAGATCAGTAAAGTAAATTTATACTCATTAATACCAGTATTGTATACATAGTAAGTAATTACCATTATTTTGGATATAGTTTTGGTGTGTTGCCAATGAAAATACAACAACAGGGTGTTCTTCAGAACCTCGTTTTTGAGGTTCAGCACCAACTCGTCCCAAAAGTGTGACAGAATTTAATGCTAAAAAAATTTAAACATTATAAAATTATAAACAATTTATAAAAAAACATTATTACTCTCGTAAATAATAGATTGAGTTCCATTGTTTGTATTTATAAAAATAAATAAATAAAAATTATTAAGTCATTTAAATCAATAAATTTAAGTTTAATGCTGGACTGCATAAACATCCACTAAACGCTCAATAAATCAAAAGACGTTTAAGGGTTCCTTAAATATAATTTAGTAGTAATTTTTTGGTCCATTAAATTTATTAATTCTTTATGCAGCTCAGCATAAGAACACTGTTTTACTATTACAAAGTACAAAATAAAAAAAATATATTAAAAAAAAACTAAACCAGGGTGTATGAAATTTTTAATTATAACAACATAACTTTAGATACATTACATTTTTCAATTTTGTTTGGCATTGGAGATTCTTGAGTATAATTTTTTCGAAAACATAACTTTGAAAACTGAATATTTTTGGAAATGTTCAAAATACTCTAAAATAATTGTAAATAAACATTAAATTGTATCAAAATATACCTAAATGATTAATGTATGTTAAAAAAAATAATTGTAATTTTTTTTTTATAGAATAATTTTTTCTATTTGTAAGTATTTGATAAATGAATTTGTTATTTCAATTATTTATCAGCATTTAATGTTAAAATTAAAAAATTTGAAAAAATTATTAAATATTAATAATTATAAAAAAATTAATGTTTAAAAATAATTAACAAGTATTTTTACATTATGAACCAAAGAACAGAAAAAGATAAACCCATTGGTCTAATCTAAAAAAAAAATACATGTGTAATATATATTAAATGTAAGAGATTTTAAGCGAGAGCGAATGAGTGGCAATAAGAAAATTAATAGCCATTTAAATTATTTTATCTAACCTAACCTAACCGGGAAGGGATAAAATGGAAATTTTTCCATAATGCACTATTTCACTAAGACAAATAAAAATATGTTCTTATATTATAATTTTTTTTTAATAGCCTTTATTGGAAAATTTATATAAATATATATATTAGATAAATTTGTCTACAAAACTTTCTGTGAAGTTGAGACCATTTATGTAATTTTATGTTTGATACGTTATAATTTGAAATATGGTAACTCTAATATAGAGTGGTTTATGTAAGATGGTTTTTTTTAGATTACATATACAGATAGAGCTAATATAATATTATATTTTTGAAAATTTTTTATTAATGACCCATTTTGTTCTGTGGTAAGGAATAAATATTGAAAACAAAATTGAATTTTAATTTGTCGCTTTGGTTAGTTTTAGGGATATTATTTTTCTTTTATAATATTTCCAGTTATAGCCATGATGTGACAAAAGGGTATATGAGGTAAACAAATATGAAGTCATCACAAAAATCACCATTTCTAAAAAGAATATTTCCAAATATAATTAATTTTTCCAATAATAATTCGTTTTTTAAAATGGGCACATCCAAAGCTATCAATATATAAGAATAACATAAATTTTAGAGAACCATTACTCCATACAATGTTGCCCAATCTTCATGAAACATCATATACTAAATCGTACGTAAATAGGGCAATGGGTGATTAGATACAACATCCAAGTCCCGTGTTTTAATTAATCATGATTGTTATTATTTGTATAATTATTCAAATATGTTAGAATATGAAATGATAGAGTATTATTAGAATAATATTATCCAAGTCCCGTCATTTAAATATGCCGAGTCCCATCCAACTAAAAAACGTATCCTGCCGTCGAAATAATGTGTGTAGATTGTAGTGGGTGGGGTGTGATTGAAAAAGGTTAAGAATAAATCATTTTTATGTCCCCATTCTTTATATAATTTTTTTTATAAAATATGCATAATGTTTAATGATAATTAAGTATTGTTTATAATTAACAGGACTCATAATTGTATTCAAGTAACATCTACTTAAATAGTTCGGGATAGTTACAATATTTTAGTATAAACTATTACCTTTGATTTCAACATTTTAAGTGTTTATGTATATCCAAAAATACTGGTACAACTGAATCACTAAAATAATAAAAAACAAAAAATATTATTGTTAAAATATACTAATAAAATTAGAACACCTAGGTACTAGGTGCTATAGAGTAAGCAACAACAATCAATGAAATATTTTATTTCAAAGAAAGTAACAATGACTTTATTATTCAAAATACGTATAATGACTCCAAAATTATAAGTACCTTTTTATATAATAGACCTATTTAATTTAATTATTTGTCGTTGCAATAAAACAAATCCGTCACAGCAATCGCATAAATTACAAAACGTACTTAAATCATAATATTAAGTATTATTAATTATTTGGCGCGATAATAAAAATACAATAGCCTACCTATAACCTAATATCTATGAACTATAAGTATAAAATGTTTTAATCGAGCATGACATTTTGAGGTTATAATTATTATTTACAAACGCCGCCATATTCAAAATTTGTATTAGTATTTTGTTTATGTACCTAATTGTAATACATTCTAAAATGTATTAAAATTTTGAAGTGTTTTTAAAATTGTACCTATTTTACTTGATTTTTACAATAGTCAAGTCTTGAATAGACAATAATTAAAGTATGAACTAGAAATATTAGAAATAAAAACATTTAAAACAACTAGTTTCTTATAACATGACAAATTAACTAATTAAGAAGTATGCCAGCAACTTGTGATTACATTAAAATGTCTTCCAGTTATCTTGGGTGGCCGTGTATCTTACGTGAAAAATCTAGCTACCGTTTTGTAAAATAGATAATACAAGTTGCTGTCATACTTATATTTTTACAGCGTATCTAATACCTACATAGATATATATAATAATTTATTATATATATCTGTGAATACCTATAACATTATTTTGTCGTTCTGGTAATGTGTACAAAAACTGCAGCTGATAACTATACAGAAGTAGGTAACAAGCCGTTTCGTTTCGTAGAGCAAACGCAGCCGTTGTCCTAAGGTTGAAGGTACAAACAAGTCAGCTGTTTCGATTATTGGTCGTATTGCAAAACGAGGCGGACCGGTCAAAATATAAAATTTTTTGAAGTTTTGCCAGAATCAAATTAGGTGTGCGCGACAGCCGGTGTGGACTGTGGATCATTCCGTTTAGTTTTTTAAAACTTCACGACTATTGTTTACTTAAAATGTAGTTCGTTGGACAAATTATTTTTATAACTACGGTATTATAAAACTATTACGCATAAACTTTAATACTCTTTAGGTATTAATTTCTTTAGCCTTGAGTCGATCGTTTTCAAGAAATATTCTCAGGTAACAACTTTTTTATGATTGTAGCGTTATTTTAGTTAACTGCGGCCAAAACCATTTATTAGGACTTAGGTGATATATATTAATCTATACATACAAGTGATTAGTATAATGATTTAGAACATATTATTTCAGCGCATACAATTTTTGAAAAAATATACACATAACATTAGTGAAAAATGTTTAAAATTTAGTGTAAGCTATTACTGAACTAACTATAGTTGATTACAGTTTGACATTTTATTGTTAATTAACATTATTTTATATATATTGGTAGATTTAAAAACTTATTAGTGCTTAAAATTATAATTCAGTATTTTCTTTAAGATATTATATATCACTATACATTTAAAATATTTGATAATTATGCTCAACTATTTTTTGTAAATATTCTTCTTTGATAAATTTTATAATAAAATAATTGCCTGCATTCCTTACAATTGATTCACTAATAATAATTACTTAAGTAAATAAAAATAATATTTTTTGAAACATCTAAGTAATAAAATTACATCATATCAATTTCTGACAATTTGACTATTTTTCCATTTTTAATGCTTCACTTTTTTTTTCGCAATTGAATAATTTAATCAACTTTTAAGTTAGTTCTTTAAAGAGAATCCATCAGATCAATTTTGTCGCATAATGGCGTTTATAGCTTAAAGGTATAATTTCATTTGTAATTAAAAAAATATTAATAAAAATAAATAATACAATTATTTTATGAGTTGAATTTAGTTGTAAGTAAGAAAGCTCAAAGGTTTTCAACATTGTATACAAAACATGGATAGTCGTTAAAAACAATGGCCTATAAACTAACTTAATGTAATGTGGTTTAAAATAAAAGCAATATAGTCAGAATGATAAATGAATAATGCTTATAATATTTCCTGACGTAAACAGTATAACATAAGAGTAAAGTAAATAACCTGATAAATATTGTACTCAAAATTAATAGTAATTTTTTAATAGATAATTCTTTAAAATTTAGATATGTTTCGTTATATCAGTTTTATTCTTTTTGTGTTTTAATCATGTTTCTGTAATGTATTATTAATTAATTAAAAATAGTTTTTTTTTACTTTTATGATATTGACATTTATTGATAAAAAAATCATATTTTTAGGTTTTTATATGTGGCATAGAGTGTATATTTAAATTGAATCTATATTCAGTATTTGTGAGTAAGCTGCACTTATTAATGTAGGTTAAATTTGCAAATAAATATTTTAATTAAAAATACTATCATACTTTCACATTTCATCTTTATTTTCTTCTTTTTACTCTCTTATTACACTTACAGAGTTATGTACTCTTAAAAATTTGTTACACTAAAATTCTTTGTACTTTATTTACTTTTATTTTAATAACTTACTATTCTTCTCACAGGTTTTTAAGTTTTTCTTTTTAAATAGTCTTTTTGGAATGTTTATTTCAATAGTCAAATATGTTACATTGTGTTGTTTTTTCATTTACACATTATTGTTAAAAAAAAATTTTTTTTTTAGGATAATTTATTAGTATTTCATTTAGATTGGTCAAAATAATATATCTACAATGGGAATTTTAGAAGAATTAGTAAGTATAATTACTTTATTAAAAAAAAAATGTTAATTGCCACACTGTAATGTTATGTAATATCTTTAATCAAAATTCGAATTTAATATTATTTTTATTTGCACAAAAGTATTTTTCTATTTAGAAATTAAAAAAAAATTCAACACCCACGTCATTTTTAAATATCTCCTTTTCCGCTAGTTTACAAAAACTTGTAACCTTGATTTTCTTCCATGAAGAGATTAAGTAAAATATCACACATAACCTTGAACAGTTTAAATAATTTGCTAAAAATGATAAGGGTTAATACCTAATAGTTATAACTTTATATTAAAACACATTTCTATATAGTTAATAACTTTTATTAAAGATACCTAGTACCTACCTTCAGACTACAAGTACCACGTTTTCTTGAATATACCTTTAATAAAATGAGTACTTTTTCAGTTAAAAATTTTCTATCTACATTTTCGGTAAACGCTTATTGTATTACCTAAAATTCTTTCATTTATATTTTTAATTAGCAAATAAATTGTTTATTAAAGTTTGTTATAACTTACATGTATATGTACTCAAAATTTTAAATTATGAATATTTAATTTCTTTTATTACGTTTTTTTGGTCTCAATTTTTTTCAGAGTGTCTCTTCAGTATTAGTTGGGCTTGGGATTGTTGTAACTACTGGTTTTGCAATATCTGCATTTGTAGCGAATTTTCAAAAAAAAAGTCAAAAGAAACGGACGTTAGTCGATGCTAATACTAAAATTCCATTACCATTAATTCAGAAACATATTATTAGTCATGACACAAGGAGATTTAGATTTGAGCTGCCATCAAAGAATCACATCTTGGGTAATTATTTAAAAAAATATTTTTATTAAATTATTCTATAAGCTAATATAACCACTATATACTAAAAACTATAGTCGTTGCAGCGCACTGTGTCTGCTGAGTGATAATAGGGCGTCATAATCGTCTTCTATATGATACACTTGTGTACTAGCATTGTAAATATTTCTTAAGTTTAAGTAGTTATAACTTAATAATATAGGAGTATAAAACACTAATTTAATTTTAAAATATATTATGTAAATTATGTTATTATGTATGCCTAATTAATAATTATACTTTAATAGTTTGCTTTCTATTATTTATCAACCATTAAATTACTGAGTATTATCCATTTCATTGTTTTTTTTAGAAATTATTTAGCATTACATAATATTAGTTTTATCACATGTCTACTAAAATTTTAAGTACAATACACCTACTTTCACATTAAAAATCTTGTTATGGTGATGAAGTTAAAATAATAACTAGGATATAGTCTAGTTTTATGCGCTAATTATTTTATTAACGAGTCGAATTGTCATAATGTAGGTGAATTGAGTAGGGATAATTTCTGCTTATTCTAGTTAGGAAAATAATAAATAAAACAAGTTTATTTTATTGAATAGTGACCTTCAGTTACTATTAAATAGAATTCATGGATAATACTTAATTAAGTTAATGAAATTAAAACTACGGATTAGATAAAACCCGTATTAATTAAAGTTTTACCTTATCTGTGATAAAACCAACATTTTTTTTCTTCATTTTACAACAATTTATTTATATTGTTCTAAAATATTTAACTAAACAAAAATAATGAATAATATATACTATTTAACTATTACTTTTCTATCTACATGCTAAACACACGTACAAACACATTTAATTTTATAAGTTATATGCCGGGTTGCATAAACGTTTAATGAACCAATAGATGTTTATTATGAGATTTATGAGATTTATGTTATGTAAAGTATAAACATTATAAGTTTAGCTACTGGAATTTTCTAGAGATTTGATATTCAAGAGTAGCTATGATATTGTTTGATCATTTTTTTATAATGCCATATGTTTTCCTTAATAAGTTATTCAGCATTATATATGTTTTAATTAAATATAATAAATAATATTTAAGGTTTACCAATTGGGCAGCATATTCATATATCTGCAAGAATTAATGATGAGTTAGTCGCACGTGCGTACACTCCAGTTAGTAGTGATAAAGATGTTGGCTATATGGATTTAGTTATTAAAGTACGTAAATAATTATTTATTATTAAGTACTCTATTTTTTGAATTGAGAAATAATCACAAACCTTATTATAACATTAAAATTTGTATATTAAAGGTATACTTTAAAGACCAAAACCCTAAATTTCCTGATGGTGGGAAATTAACCCAGTATTTAGAAAAAATGGAAATTGGTGATACAATTGATGTACGAGGACCTTCTGGCCGTCTCATTTACCATGGTCGGGGTGACTTTGAAATAAAAGCTGTTAAAAGGAAAGATCCATCCCACAATCTTTTTGCAAAAAAAATTGCAATGATTGCTGGTAAAATACACAGAATTTATCTTTAAGAAAGAAACCAATTTTTCTATTTTAAAATGTTTATAGGTGGTACTGGTATCACACCTATGTTGCAATTAATTCGTCAAATTACTAGAGATCCAAAAGATGAAACTAAAATAGCTCTTCTCTTTGCTAATCAAACTGAAGAAGATATATTACTAAGAGAGGAATTAGAAGAAGCTGCAAAAACTCATCCTGACCAAGTCAAGATTTGGTACACAGTTGATAGACCTACTGAAGGTGATAACTGATAACAAATAATATTTCTTGTAAACTATGTATGAGCCATCAAAAGCAAAAGTGGTGTGTCACATAATTTCAAAGTTGAGAAACGAAAAGTTAAAATAGAAATACTATTTACGCTTTTACGAAATTATAAAAGTTCTTTTGCCATCTAACAGAAACTAGCAAAGTAGGACTCACACCACTTTCGCAGGCAATAGATTTAGGTTGCTTGCACGCACAACAATACTATCGGGTGTCAGAGTTGAGTGTGTAGCATATACATTGATTTTAATGAATTGTTGCACATGATCCCCAATTTGATAAAAATGTCGTACCAATAATTCAGTATGTGTGCAGCATTTAGATTGATGGCTAAAAGTTAGATTGGTACACGCGTTACGACACTATCGGGTGCCAACATCCGATAGTATTGTTGTATGTGCAAATAGCCTAAAGGTAGAATTATCACTTGGTGGTGTTACCTACCATTAAAGCATACATTTAATTTGTTTTTTTAATTAAGAATAACTTTCTGAAATTTTTAACTAGAATACAACCACTTTTTAATCATTACTTTTAAAGTAATTGGATTTTTAAATTTAGGAAAGGTGGAGTATAGTATTATTTTTTATCTGCACACATTTCTCAACCGCACTACCTGAATTTTAAACTCAAATAACTTTAAAAGTAATGATTCAAATCTGGTTATCGACCAGCCGACATTTTTAGCAAAGTATTCCTAATTTAAAAAATAAATCAAATCTATGTATTACCATTTTAGTTTTAAAAGTTACACCCCCTCCTCTTCCCTAAATCTAATTTTTGACTGAAAAACAATACAAAAACTTTAAATTATTATTGTTTGATTAAAATAAATAATGTTTCACAATAGTAATTTATTCAAAATGTTAGTATTTCATCAATAAATCAGGTGTAACATGAAATTCTAAACACCCTATATATAATTAAACATATTATATATTTTAACATATATATATTTTAAAGTTAATTATGCACATTTTAAAAGGTTCACATTCTCACAATTTTTGTCGATACACAATGAGTCCAAGAAAAAGAACTATTGTGAAACTAACAACTGTATGTTTCACTTCAAATGTTTATTACAATATATATTAATTATATATTTTAACCTAATTTTATACTACTATGCCACATTCTTAACTTAATCATGTTATTTCATATTTTATTTATAAAATAATACATAATATTTTTTAGGCTGGAAGTACAGTGAAGGTTTTATATCATCTGATATGATAACGGAACATTTATATCCACCGTCTGAAGACACATTGGTGTTGATGTGCGGCCCTCCACCAATGATCAACTTTGCATGCAACCCTAACCTTGATAAACTTGGGTATGATGCAAAGCAACGTTTTTCGTATTAAAACTCGTTTTGTTTTTTTTTTTTTATAAATTAGAACACCCACTCTAATTTACAAGTAGTGTAATATTATTCACACAAGTTTTATTATTTTGTAATAATTTTTTTTACAGTAAATTAGTAAATAAAAATGTATCCCAAAAAAGTGTTAACAATAATTGAACATTGTTATTTTCATGTTACGTCTTGTACAAATTTATTTGATAGTTAAATTGGTTAGCTGAGTAAAAAAAAAAATTCTACGTTTTATTGCATGGTTTAATGACTTGAATTTAGGCAGGTTGCTGTTATTATTTTTGGTTATTCTTTTTTCCTTCAATTTCTTAATATTAAAGTTTGAATATCATTTATATTGTGTCATTGCATATATTATATTTAATAAAGTGTATCTTGTCAAAAATTAAATGTATTACCAATATTAGTTATTGTATTATTATTTACTTTTCAACATTACACTGTATTTTCTTTCTTTCAATACCCATCTCAATGGGTTAATGAGGTCCAATTTCTTTTTATCACATTTAATTAAATTATTATTTCAATATATTAAAGTTTTAACACATTCTTATCTAAACTTTTTTGTTTTCTGTAAATTAATATCCTATTAAAAAGTATACATTATGACAAGATTCAAAAACGTTTAACAACAACTATAAAAAAAAATGTATCTAATGCATAAACGGACAATACAATAAACAAACATAAATTAAAATAAAATTTGTAATTTACAATGGTTAACATTTCCTTACAAACTTTGGAGGGTCAATAAATGATTTACATTTGTTTGCAGTGTAGTAGGATATATTCATTAAAATATGTACATACAACATTGATTTTTAGTTACTCAAATTATTGTAGTTAGCATGCGTCATCAGCTCATTTTAAAAAATGTACAGTTGTATGTTTTAAGATTTAATTTTAATTTGTAATGCCCCCTCCTTCAAATAAGGAGTCCTTGTGTGTGGTAACAGCTGTATTAAGATGTGCTGTAGTAAAATCTAATACCTCTAATACTAATCTTTACATATATTAAAATTCCATATGTGGATACCACGTTAATTTTTAATAGAGCGTAGTAAAATAAATATTCCATCTCCAAGCAAAATGTAAATGTTTTTTATTTAGATAAATTTATTAATAAACCCAATTTTAATTGTGGCTATAAGTAATTAAAAAAACATCAAGAAAAGTAATAGTTCAAATAATCAGTATTTCACAACATAAATACACTGCTATAATATTCTTGTAGATATAACATTAACAAGTTATTATAATTCATCAAAATTCAATACTAAAATAAGTTACTAATAATTTATTGTCTATAATATTTAAATACCTTAATATAATATAATAGCCGGCACATTAATAAGAAGTAGAAAATACATGAATATAATTAAGTGTATCTTAGAATAATAGGACAAACCATTATTTACTTTAACATCATGTATACAAAAAAAAAACACAAGACACAAATATACATGTATCCTATATATATATATAAATTAACATAGTATTACAAATTATCAAATTAAACACTACATATACATAACATTATTTTTCTTTGTTAAAACTACCAGTCTGCAGGATTTAAAAATAATTTAATAAAGAATTTTTGGCAAAAAAAATATTTAAAAATTAAAAGTAAGACACTTTAGGTGCAGATAAAAATCCTGGTCTAGCTGAAGGAGGAAAATTAGCATTTGTTTTCATGGTTGTAGTCGTTACTTTTGAATTTTTTGGAGCTGAACTAGATGTAGCCGTACCAGCCTTTTTCTTTGGCCAACTATATTTATATAAAAAAAAAAAAATAGAGCATTATTTTATTTTTTAATACTCTTCAAAAACGCTATAGCTGGACGAAAATTATTAGTGCTAAGTATTTAAGTACATGTAAACAATAAATTCTAAGCCAGAAATACATAACAATTATTCCACAGTGAGTGGGCACTCGTTTGTCATTGGCCTAGTTGTATCCACTATTATATAATAATATGTAAGCCATAACTCATAAATTATCATAATTTCATTTTCGTTCCGATTAAATAAAGGGAATTTAAAACAAAAGTATAGAGTGATTAATGGTTATGTATATAATACACATAACAGGTTCACTATTTTTAGCTTTGATATTGATTTTACAATATTTTACCCGCGATAAATTTATTAGGCAAAAAAGTTTTTTCCTTCCATTTAAAAATCGTGAAACGCCTTAAAAATTTGCATTTTATTAAAATAAAATTATTAGAAATGGTTCCACATTTTTTTTTACAATCCTACTCATTAACAAGATTAAAACAAAAAAACATAAACTTTCTTCCCTTTCCATTTGATTTGCATGAAATCGTTTTTTCAAAAGTGAATTTAGCACTCATAAAGGATGATGTATGATATATTGTAAACGTATTATTACGAACATTAATTACTCTTATTTTAAAAAAAAACTCATTATATATATTAAAATAACGAACAATGGCTAATTAGGTTATCTAGAAGTAAAAGGCCATCTATTGAAATAACATAATCACTGTTAACCCGTGAGAATTGGCTGAAGGTGATTTTCAATGTCATGTACTTTAGTAGTAGTTTCTGAACACAAACTTTTATATATAGTAAAAATGTATAATTAGTCAGAAATATTAGTATAGAACGATGCTACAGTATTAATGTTTACATACAATGCTATTTACAATTATAGTGAAATTAGAATACACTAAAGTATAGAGGTCAAACATGTATACTGTATAATTTTTTTCTTAAATAAAAAGATATACATCGACTACAGCTATCTTTTATTTGGAAATTTAATAGTCAAGTGTAAAAGTGGGTAAGAGAAAAATAAAGGAAACTGTAACCCCTACAAACTACCAAATACCAATTATTTATTTATATTGAATGACGTCATTTATGCCTATAGTAATAGCTTAGTAATGCTTTGTCAAGTATTCTACATGTTGTCTATCAGGCCCTAATACAAAAAATTGAGCGAAAATTACGGTTGTAATAATATTTATATTCTCGAACACGCACCACCATGTTCGAGATGTCATACATAAAATTATACTTGTAAACATCCAAATTCGACCTAAACGTCTTAACCACTAATTATGTCACTCTCTGAACCAGCGCCAGATTAATACCACAGAATAAATGAAATCAAAAGGGGGGTAACAATATAATATAATTAAACATTGGACAATATGCTGTAATGAAACGTACATAAATTTCCTTAAATATTTTTTTTTCATACCTTAAATATTTAATTAAATAAAGAGTATTTTTAGAGGTAAAAATAACAGTAGGTGACCTCTCAACTTTAAGCCAGCAGTTAGATTAGCGAAAAAATGTTAAAAATTAAAACCGGGTATTTTTATATACTGCAGTACTTAGATAACTACTGAAAAAATTAGGCCTGTACGACCATTTTGAAAAATACATTTTCGGATTCTAGACCACTATGTTGTAAGATTTTGAAACAAATATTAAATATCTTATAACAGTATTGAATTTTATTTGCAAAGTGAATAACTAAATTACTTCGATAACTTTAGCTTAACATCAAGTTTTATTCAAAATTTGCCTATTATTAACCCCTTAAAAAATACTTAGTTTGACGTCCTCTTAAAAAGCATTTTGCAAGTTTCATAAAACAAATTTAAAAAAAGTATTCGTCATGAAGCAAAAACAACTATTTGCAATTAAAAAATGTTAATTTTATTTTTAAAAATAATTTTTATTGAAAAAAAATACTTTGTTCATGCACTTCTTTTATTCGATAAGTCATAAGCCTACAAACTTGTACTCAAACGGTCGATATGTATTTAAGATAACATGTTCATCAACCTGGAAAAATTGTACGTCCAAAATATTTAAATGCCCCCAAAGGCCCTTGATTAACAAGTTGCTGGAATCGCTTGACATTATTCAGGAAATCTTTATATACTATATAACATATTGTACTAAACTGTGTGTGTGTAAATATTATAGCGTTGAACTTGATACTAATGTATTTAGTTGTTTAGGGTTTGTTTCTCGCACACTGCAAAATTGTGCGTCCCCATATTACATAACCCCTGATTACTTGGAAGGAGGTGACGTTAGAAATAGATATTAATACATACACAAAAATATACATATATGTATCATCAGTTATGTCATCATAATTCATAGGTACGAGCTTACCCAGCAAACATTATGATCTATAATACGTCATTTTTTAAGTCTATTTCTTCCGTTTACGTCATGTAAACCAAAAATACATGTATTTTTTAAGTTTTTTCATTGATGCTTATAGACATCAACTATTAGACTTATTTTAGATAAATCATAATTTCAATTAATTAACTGTGTTGTAAAAAATGTATAAAACAGATTATTATATTAAAAATATGTATGTTATAACTTATCATGCCTAGTAGTTAGATATAACTATTAGGCATGACCTTAAGTAGTTAAACAAATTAAAAAAAAATTACTTACAATTTTGCTTTCCCTTTTTTAAATCGTTTAGCTCCTTTGGCAGAATAATTTGTTTTCCGTTTGTTTCCACCGCGGGCATTGACTATGCCTCCAGACATATCGTCAAAATATGGACAATCCACACTGGTTTTAAGCCAATCCTCCTCTTCACCTTCACCGTCGTCATTTTGTTCAGTTTCTTCACAAGCAACCACTAAACATAACAAAATATTATTGATTGTATTTTTAACTACATAACCTTACTTGTATTACTTTTACCGTATAAAATTAATAATTGTACAGTGAAATTCTATAAATAACAATAATTTATTTATTTAATAAATAAATAATAAATAATATAATAATATGATGTATTAGACCATCTATACAAAAAACAGCACGTTTCTTCAATTTAAAAAAAAAACTACACTTCAGCTTAGATAAACAAAGGGCTGAAGTGTAGTTTTTCGTTTAGTTAGTAAAACATAATGATTTATGTAAGGAGCGTCAAATAATAAAAATGAAAACGTTATGTTTATTTGTATATAGGGGTTGCATATTTTCATAGAAATCATAAAGCTTCACCATTGCCATTCTGTCATACACTCTCGGCTTAATATGAAGTCTATAAATTACATTTGTAAAAACCACTATATATTCATTCGTAGACAAAAGAAGGCAATACTATTTTGATAACTAAAAAGACAAATTTTAAACCCTTTAAGCTTTACCAAATTTATTTGCTGCAGCTTCTTGTGTTATTTCTAATAATTGCCGACCGTACTTTTCAAAGTTTGCTTTAGTAACACCTACAATTTTTAACATTTCTTCTTCGGTTTCTGGTAGTATCCGAGACATTTCTTTAATTGCCTGAAAGAGAAACAAATTCATTAGTTTTCTTATATTTTTCTTATTTTTTTGGTAAGTAAACTAAAAAATAAATAACGATGATATTGTTGTATTGCAGACACATTAATAAAAAAAATAATTTAATATGGCCACTTACTTGTACATTCATAATAGCATTAGTGTTGACATTTAATGACGCTGCAATTCCACGGCACACATCCATAAGGTTTTCATAGCATCTATCTTCAATTTCTTTAATTACCGGATTAACTGGAGTATTATTTGTCTTACTAGTAGTCTCTACATTCAATTTGTTCTTTGTAGTCGAGGACAATTTTAACTAAACATAAACAATAAGATGTTAATCAACTCTTTGATTTTTCTATTTAATATTTGTGTTTCATATGAACTAAATGAGACACCTTAATCGTCTTCTATTTTTTTCCTTCATTATTTATAATTCTTAAATTAAGTATCCATAACTATCTCTTTATCCAGTCCATATATTTCCATGAGAACATTTAAAAAAACAATCCTTCTTTGGTAATCGGTCAACCTAACTTTATCAGCTCACCTATATTTCTTCAAATCTGATGTCTCATTCAGTTGTTCGACTTTTCTCACACAACAAAACGTTTTGGACAATTCCCTCATATTTCTCTGATATTCGTAAAGATCACCAATTTCAAGCTAACACACCTCAACTAAACAGTTTATCATTTTATCTATTAACTCCTCAAAACTTTATTCTTAGTATTCTTTCCCATACTAAAAGTTTTCATTATGTATTAACTGTTATTCTTCTTTGATATATTTATTTCATTAGGTTTACACACAATCAGTTGAAATGTACAAACTAACTGGACTTGTAAATGGAAATGAAAGGGAGAGCAGTATAAAATTACGTTCAGACAACACCTGAAAAAAACTGTGCAAGCTAACTGCATTAACAATTTTTTCGTAATCAAACTGATTATGTACCTAACCCAGCCTACTAAAATTTTAAAGTTTTGTACATTTCCCTTTCACTCTAAATAAAACCTATTTTATTAATACTTTGTAAGCTAATTTCTTAATGACTTAGATTTTTAATGCTAATGATTTACCCTTTAATTACGTTTTAAAAACATCAACAATTAGTTAAAATACAAACATTTTTAAAATAAAATAATAACAAGTAAAAAAATATCTACTCACTTTTACAGAACCTCTAAAGAGTTTTTCTGCTTCAGGTCCAACCCTAACAAAAGCATTGATGATATCTATTTTGGAAGCAACCATTTCTTCTCTTAAATAACCTTCAAGCACTAATTTATGCATTAAACGTTCAGCATCAAATCTCTCCCAATGTTTACCACGACCATGCAAACGTAGTTTTTCATGGTCTAAATAATAAACATATTTTATAAGTTTATTTTTACAAAACACATATCATAGAACAAAAAACTCACTGTGTGATTTAATTTTCTGATTTGTACTTCCTTTGAATATATCAATAATGTATAGCAACGTAAAATTATTTTGCCAGCTATTACTACCAGAACTGCATAACTCTTTAACTGTCTTAACTATTTCAATGCAGTCGTCAGTGACATCAATAAGTTTAAATGTTGCCTAAACATAACAAAACAACATTTTTAAACGGAATTAATAATTTGATTAAGTTGCAAAACAATATAACAATACTATTTACTAAAAAAATTGTTTAATATAAAAAACTTTAATGTATTTAATTTTTGTTACAAATTAAATCTTCTCTTCTATTAAAAAAATAAGGAGTATTTACTTTATTTCGACAATTATCACATGCTGTAATACTGTTTGCAATACATAATTCACTGTTAAAATGTTCACCGAAATAATTTAATTGCAAACTTCGCCTACAGTCAGCCTTATTTTCACAGTACGAAACAATTCTATACAGATTTTGAATATGAACTTTTTTTGATTCTTGAGTACCATTATCACCCACTAGAAACAAAATATATTAAATTTCTACTAAAATACTATAAAATTTAATTCAGTACAGATGAAAAAGGCGTAAAACTTATTACTAGAGGTCAAGGGTTAGTTTTTTCTATACAGCAAAAATAACTTCTGCACCTAAAAAAGACTACCTCTTACAAGCTCTGTTCTCAATTTCTTCTCAATTCTTTGTTCTTTAATGATGGTTTTAGAAGTAAAAAAAAAATAATAATATGTACTTAATTACCAGGGGTATGACTTGAATGAGATCATACAAATGGAAAATATGTAAATATATTTAAATAATATATATAGAATTTAACTTGAAATTAAACTTTACTCTCAATTAATTTTCTAATTCGATGCATATCGCTATAATTGTAAAATAGCAGACAGTGGGATATTTCTCCATCTCGTCCGGCCCGACCAGATTCTTGGTAATAACCTTCAATAGACTTTGGTAGTGAATAGTGAAAAACATACCGCACATCTGGTTTGTCAATCCCCATGCCAAAGGCAATTGTAGCACAAACTAACTAAAAATTAAAAATAGTATTATTCATAAGTACAAGTTTGTATTTTGTTTGAAAATTTATATTTTAATTATAGTTTGAATATTTAAGAATCAACATATACAAATAAATGAGGGGATGATATCTGTTGCTGCTGGTTTCTTTCTCTAAGCAAGCAACCCTCTGGATAAAATAATAACAAATACTTCCCTACACAACATTAAAAAAAAAAAAAATGTATTTTCATACAAAAGTAACAACGTACCAGTGGGCACATTATTTACTATAACATGAGTAATAACGTATTTCAAATTTACAACAGTTCTAATATTTAGTGATAATCGTAAATCTATTAATTATGAACACATTGACTAAGTTATAAAGTTCAGTTTCGATATAAACCCTAATTAATTAACAACCCATAATTAATTATCCTGTTAATTTACAAAACTGTTCTACTATTTACAACAGCGCGCCTGCTGGAAGTTTCAATTGGTAGCCATCTATAATCCTAAGCCTCAGAAAAAAAAAATGTTTTAACAACTTTGGTGATTTTTAAAAGCAAAGAAGTTTATTCTCCAATAATAATAAAAAAAATTAAATATTTATAAATAAATATAAATATAAAATATAAATATTAAGTTACATTGTTAATTATTTATATCTATTAAAATAATTGTGATTTTATAAAAAAATGCTTATATTTTTTAAAAATTATACTTAGTTACTAACATTGACTTTGTTGGTGATCCACTTTAACTGTACTTCATTACGCTTATCATCAGTCAGACCAGCATGATAGCTAATAGCTCTAATTCCCTCATTAGACATAAAAGTTGCTGTACTATCACACTCATTTCTACTAAGACAATAAATTATTCCAGATTGATTTTTGTATTTTTGTTTTATGAGGGCAGCTATTTCAGCTAAGACTGATTTACCCTTCTTCGGAAGAACTTTGTAAAGTAAATTAGGCCTGTTAAAACTTGATAAAAATCTGAAAATATAATATTTATTTATATATATACTATTTTCTAGATTAAAATAAAATAAATTAGTTTTACAATTTTGTTCCACTAATCTGCAACTGATAAAGTACATCTTCTCGTACGCGAGGAGTAGCAGTAGCCGTGAGAGCCATTATTGGGACGTTAGGGTATTTTTTCCGAAATTCTCCTAAGCGTTTATAATCGGGGCTAAAACATAATTATTTTTTTTAAATTAGTATTTTGAAAATGCAATCACACTATTACATATACTATCACACATTTTTCACACAAACCGAAAATCATGGCCCCAATGAGAAACACAATGTGCTTCATCAATTACAAGACGAGCCAATTGACCACGACAATGTAAATTATCTAAAACTTGTGATAATTTCATACTAGCAGCAATTTTTTCTGGTGTTACATATAACATTTTCAGTCCTAATAAAAAAATGTGTTTTAATATATGAATACCAGATAGTAAGCAAATCATACACTTTTAACTAGCTGCATGTATAATATAAAGAGTTGTATTATTTTCAATTAATACCTGGCTCTGCCATACATAACTTAGTAAAAATCATATTTTCTTCATCGGCTTTCATATTTCCCAATAAATGAGCAGCTGGAATCTAATTAATTATTAACAAGATTGAAGTTTACTTATAAATAAAAAATCACTGTTGATGATAATAATTACATCTAATGATTTCAATTTTTCAGTTTGATCTATGACTAATGACTTCAACGGCGAAATAACAATTGTCACTCCTTTAGATATAACTGCAGGTAATTGATAGCACAACGATTTGCCGCCACCAGTAGGCATCAATACAAAACAGTCATGACCAAGTAAAGCGGCATTTATGGCTTCCAATTGGTTGGGGCGGAAATCATGCAAACCAAATGTTGATCTGAATACCTGTAGAAAAAAAAATTGTAAAATAAAAATCACACTTCAGTAATATATAATGAATTAACAAGACAATTAAAAACAAGTGATGAGCAACAGCTGTTGAAAATGTTAAATAAGGTGCGTCTACAGTCCACACTATAGACCGACTACTAGGCTCAACTAATTGCAGACCTTTGTTTGCTTTCGCTCCTGTAGCACCAAGTAGGAATGTTTAATTGTGTCGATACGAAGAACTCCTTATCAATAAAATTAAGAAAATTTAACTGAAATAAAATACTTATTTTTTTACTTCTTAACTTAATTTTAAGAAAAATTTTAATTATTTTATTTAGTTATTTTAATATTTAAGAAATAAAAAAGTTGTACAGTGTCTATAATAGTAAAAATGTAAAACTAATTATTTTTTTGCAAATAAAAAAAGTTAAGTGTAAAAATAACAATTCAAATGCTTTTAGAGTTTCAGCATACATGAAAATCAGTCATTATTAAGTAGTTAAAAACTGTAACCAACCGTTAAAAGTTGTCTAGAATGAGGATAATTATTTTTACTGAATTCTCCAACTGAAACTTGAACTGTAGAAGGCATCTTAGTACTAGATTTTTGTTGATGATTAGTTCTAGATCCACTACTGCCAACTATAAAAATTCACTAATATTATAATAATTTAATAAACTAAAACAAAAAAATTATAAATTCACCTTCATTATAATTGAAGTTATTTACCAAATTACTGTTATTTGCTGTATTTGTGTAATCTGAAGCTTTATATGGGGCAAAATCATCATAATTTTCTTTTGAATACGTAGAGGTTATACGTTTTTCAATACCAGAAGATGAGAATGATTCAAAGTTACTATTATTCACAATGTGATCAATATCGTTCACATTTAAACGCTCGCGTGATAACACATTAGAATAGCCGTAAGGAGTTGTTGATGACGAAGCATTCATTGTTTGAAAATCTGAATGATTATCAAACCATTTTTTGCTAACATTACAACTACTACTCGGGCCAGCTTGAACACAACTAGAATTTGATTTATTAAAATCAGTATTAATCGAACCATTTGAGGTTGAACTAAGTTCGTAGTCTTTGAATTTGACATCATCACAGCCTATATTAATAGATTCAGGGTATCTATTTGTAAAAATAGATGCATATGAAGTAGACGGTCTTGAATATTCATTTGATGATTCTTGATCGCTCAACAGACGCTTCTTGCCAAGTTGCATTTTATTTTTTAACTTTTGTCTTATTCTTTTAAGCTGAGATATTTTTGAAAAGTCCTTAAGACAAGGAATGGTACTTGCCACATTCTCTGGAATATTTACAAAAACATCAAATACCTGATCTAAGATGGTGTATTCTAACTTTTCCAATCCTAACAAATGGCCTTTCATATCCCTTATTGGTATCTAAAATAATCAATACAATTTTAAAAATAAGTAACTAAAGTAAAACGATTTTGTTTTAAATCAATATCCAATGTGTATGTTTATTTTAACTCGATAGAAACTTTTAAGATTATAATGGATAGCAGGGTTATAAGATAATATTTATGTTATTTTAATAAAACCTCCACTCATAGATGTCTCCAGCTCAAGTTCACTATATTTTTATAAAACATAAATTTGTCGATTTACTTACATCAGAAATTATTTTATCCAGTAGTTGATTGTTACTAATATTAGTTAACCAATTTTCCATATCTTTCGGTGAATTTTCTAAAATAATAGAAATTATAATACAGTACGAATAACTAATTTACTATTAAGAAATTTATTCTGTTACAAAACAACTAAAAGTTATTGGGTACAACTTAGTAACTTATTTATTTGTGATTATTAATAATATATATATGGGGCATTCAGAGTTAAGCCACGCAGTCATCGGCCTCCTTAACATTTTTCGAAATTTTTTTTATAAACTTCTTTTGGTCTAATATAAGACCTTAATTTTGTTTAAAAATTACTATCACTCATATTTATCCCAAAAATGTTTCCGTTTTAAAGTTCCAAAATTTTTAACATAAAATCAGGGACTTAAATCTTTTTGCCTAATAACAGGAATGGACCGTTATTTTTAAAAAAATTTTTTTTTAATAATGATTAAAAAAATTAATTAATTAAATAATTTTTTTCAAAATCTGAAGAAAAAAAATGTATAATTTCTTTTTTTTTTGATTCGTAAGACATATTTTTCACTATTTACTCTTAAAATATGCAAAAAATCAACTTTTACCAAGACATGTTTCATTTTTTACTAACATAAAACCTATATTTTTAGGGTAAGTATGAGTGATAAAAATTAAAAAAAATTAAGGTCTTATATTAAACTAAAAAAAGTATAAAAAAAATTTTGAGGAGGTTGGACTGATGGCGGACCGGGTGGTTGAACTCGGAATGCCTCATGTATATAAATTATTTCTATTAAATAAAAAGGATGCTATTAAAATATATAGTCTACTACCATTTAGGAATGAATTAATTGAGCATTCACTAGTTAGATCTGTATTGTTTGGTGTTGATGTAACAGATATAGAGAGCTTTCTTTTAAATTTTTCAGGTGAAATTTTATAGGTCGTGTGTCCATTAAATATTGATGGGCTTTTAGGTTCCTCAAAATCACTACTAATATTAATAGTAGATTTGTTCTAAAAAAAAAAAAAATAAACAAATATTAATTTGTACTTATGAATTAATATAATATATACATGTAGTATTATTAATAACTAACTAAGAGCTATATGTTTATTAATTATTTAATAATTAACTAAAAAATGTAATAAGGTACTAACTTCATTTAAAGTTGGAACTTTTTCAGGGCTAAATATTATATCATCATCATTATTGAAAAAGTCATCAATAATTTTATTATTTTTTGAAACAAACTCTGAAGAATCCTTTTTAATATTTAATTGGCCTGAAAGACATGTATTATATTAATAAAAATAATATATATATATATATAACTTTTATGATGTGACTTAAAACTGTATGTTATGCCAGTTAGGTATTTATTTTTCCCAATATGATTATTATAATGATGATTCAACTAACATACAAACATTTAATTTTATGACATTTTGCTAAACTTAAATATACTGTTTCTTTACCTTTTTTTGGAGATACGTTATTGGTTTCAAAACATTCCTCGTCACTATCCAACAAACTCACAATAGATGATTTTGGTTTAGTACTATCACAAATAAATACAATAATAAATTGATTAATATTTAAACATAGTAATAAGTTCACAAGCCTGCTAATTTATTTTACATTAATTAAAAAAGAAAATTAACATCATATCCATAATGATCATGTCCCCAGCAATAATTATAACTTCTAAACACAGCTCAATCAGAGATTAAAACAACTAGGGATAGGAACCGTAATTTTGTAATTATTTTTAGCATCTAGTTATTTTCTACAAAAAATGTATTTATTGAAAAATTAGGAATAACATAATTTGAATTATTACATAATACAATAAAATAAACATAAATACGTAATCTGAAAAAAGAAAGTATTCGTTAATTATTTTCACCCCTGAAAATAATTCCTGGTTGTGTCATGTTAAAACATACTCTAAAGTATTTATAAAGACTAATATATCTTATAACGTCCCACTCACTTATGGCTAACTACAGAATCTTGGCCAACAGTCTTGGACGACCCGAGACGCTTGAGAACAGCGCTGGGTTTTTTTAAGAAGAAATCCATTAATTTAAAAAGTAGAAATTCTTTAAAAGAATAAATTTAACTAAAAGGTTGACTATATTTTTATTTACAGTTTATTAAATAAATAATTATTTGTGAACTTTGTGGTCAAATAATCGAAAATACATTTTATTTTGACTTCGCATTTTGCAATTTGCATAGAACATCCAATGGTAAACTCAAAATCATATTTTTCAACAAAGATAATATTGATATCATATTTTACATTTACCGCCAAAATATGTAATAATGATAACAAACCCGGTTTGTACAAAAACCATGGAAAGGAAACAAAATCATTTCATGACTGATAGCTGCAAGATTTTCAAGGAAGAAAATAATACGTATCGATACGTTCCAAATACGAACTCGAGTGTTCAAGAAGTTTACGGTACTTACAGGCTACAGCGGTACACATGTGATACGTATTTATTCGTATCGGGATTAGACTCGGTACGCGTCTATGGTATCGATACATATTATCGGATTTTTCCTGATACGTATCACTACAAAAACCCTATACGTACCAATTATAGCTGAGACCTCGAATCGAATTTTTCTATTATTCGAATTATTCGAATAATCGTATAATACTATTCGTATGTAAATAATTCGAATATTCGAACAGTAACGAATAATTCGAATAGTAATCGAATAGTCAAATAGTAATCAAATAATTCGAATATTCAAATTTTCGCATGAAAAAACTAAAAAAAACTTCTTAATCTAAGAGGTTTTTTTATACGGAAAAAAATAATTTGGTTATAGTAAATGTTTGGAAATATTCTTGTTTGATCTACTATAATATGGCTGCGCCTACTACATCATTTTAGTTAGAAATACCAAACTGTAATTATATATCTATATAAATTGTTAAAATCTTATTTGTTGTAATAAGTAATAATATTTATTTTGACAAAAGAATAATTCGTTATAATTACAATTATTTTGTTAAAAAATTATTAAAAAAAGATCAAGGACACCTTAGTTGTCTCTTAATTATTACTTTTTTTTAATTTAATTAATCCTGCAAAGAAAATGATAAAATATTCGAATATTCGAAAAATCAGATCGAATATTCGTTGCAAATAAAGTATTCGAATAATCGAATTTTTTTTATTCGAATAGTCCCACCACTAGTACCAATAAAACTTATTTTTCTTTGGTTGCAGCTGATGATGAAATGTGTTGTTCTGATAGAAATATAGCTCATAGCACAGAAATTCCAAATCGGCCGCGCGCCCTACTCCCCTCCTATAAGATTTCTCTCTTCACACGGCACGGGGTGATCCAGGCCTACCACGGCAGGACTGGGGCTTATTAACGGGCCCTTCACTTGTACCAAAAGGACTTCGGTAAAAGAGTGAAAGAGGCGCTAGCAGCTTGATGACTACTTCGCTTTCCTACTTCTCTAACGAACCATCAACCCCCATTATGGTCCGACCACACGCCGCGTGATGGCCACACAGGACTGTGTGATCACCGGCTTCCCGGGTGCCCGTTATACCAATCATAGACGGCCATTGGTGGGAAAATTAGTTATTATTGGGACATGCAAAATTTTAAATCGTTTGTAAAAAAATAGTTACAGTTGACAAAAGTGTACTTCTAACCTTACACAATACTTTATATGCTTAGTAATGTGTAATAGTTTATTTACCATATTATAGGAATACTGAATATGAAAAAAAAAACAGGAACGTCAGCGTGCATATCACATATGTACATAAATACTAAGTAATATAAGAAAATATTGTAGGCTATAAGTACACAATATGTCGTCTGCTTCGTTTAATGTACTTATATATTTTAATGTGTATGTAACTTCCTACGGCGCACTTCCGCAGTGGCGATTGTGTAGATGCGAAAGGACACGCAAGAGACTTGATCGTCGCGATGACTTTTAGGCGAACACTATAAAAGTATATACACATAATATATTATTTGACGTTACAATACGATTGCAGTATACTCGTATACATGTCTGTATAATGTGCCTGTATCTTCCTCGGTGAAAGCATACATATAATATATTATTCGCGGTCCAATCCGTGTGTACATAATATATTCATGTTTATACTATATAGACTCCAATTTATAATAATAACACGAAATCATTGATGTGTAATGGTACCTAGGATGCGGAGGCTCGCAATTGAATAAAACGTATAAATAATCGTTTTTAACGAAAAAAAGATACTTATCGCATTAGAAATAAAAATAAGTCGCAAGGCAAACACATGTTGGATGTATTATTGGGCGCCCAATTGGAAAGTATGCGCGTCTCATCTATTAACATTATTATAATTTATAAGGTTACGCGGAGACATTTCAAAGCCTTCTTTATTTTCCGGTATATTCTATTCCACCGGTTTTTTCCCCCAAATAAGCAGTTAAACTATAATTGGATAGACCCGCCACGCCGTTTGGCGTAGAATGTATAATAAGCAAATAACGTTTATTGCACCGATGAATAGTGTAGAAAATGGAAACCAGCCGTAGCCCAGTCATTTGTGTCTGTCCGCTGTTGCAAGGAAAATGTATTAAGAGTACACATACAAAAACAAGAGCTGCATACTGTACATATCTCTGAACCGTTGATCACAAAAAAAACCCGTACAGTGGGGTCGTGGCATAGTTAGGACTAGGACAATCTAATGAAAAATAAACTATACATATTTTTGAGAAATTGCCTATACATAACCCCTTCAAGAGTAATATGTGTAGCGTTCTTTTAACACAATTACAAAGAAGACAAAAAAGGCATGTCATTGAAATCTTAGTTGACCAATAAACTCCTAATATGGGTGTTTAAATTGGGCAACTTCTGGCAAGTACTATAGAACTCCCACTGGCATTGGCTATATTCTGTACGTATACTTAAAATTTAAAACTAGAACAATTGCTAACCAGCCAAAAAAGCAATTATGTCCGTATGGAGTTACCTATTGATTATTATATGGGCAAATATATAATTCGAACTGTAATGTAATGTAAGTGTAAAATGGAAAGTCTTTTTGACCTGTGCCATTGCTCTTAACACCCGCCTACTCTTTATCAAATAATAATATAGGTATATTAAAAATTTTAAATACAGCTCGTTGATTTTTGCTTATTCGGAGACTCATGTCTCACTTGAGGTTATTCGCTTTTCTGTCATTCTTGTGAATCACAATTTCAATTAGACGACATCCAGTCTTATTGCTCTATTGTTTCCCGCTAAGGCACATGCACAACCCCAGATACTATTAATATTTTTACCGACCGAACAAGGTTAAAGGAAACGTACTTTCATTTATGACAGTTCACCATTGTCGTCGACCGCCGTCGTCGTAAAAATAAAAACTATCAGAGATGTTTATAGTTCATGATGGTTTTTTTTTACAGTCACGGATTTTAACACAAAAGTACAACATTATGTATGTATAAAAAAAGTAATAAGTAATAACCATTATTATATTTGTTGGTAACATTGATTTTATCTTAATATGTTAAATTATTATTTAAAATCTATATAGATAATGGTACATAATAGATATATAATGTTAAAATCGTTATGCTATTGTTTTTTTAACTCTTGATATATTATATTATATAAACATACTGCATACATATTAAATTAGTACGTCCTAGAATGACTATTGCGGTGCTTAAAATATAAATCTCCATTGCCTGTGTTTCGGCTCAAAGACTACTACATTAATCCTTTTATATATCTGTTTAAAAAAGTAGATAATTTCAAAAATATGTTTTTTTCAATATTAATTCTGGGACATACAGACTACAGTACATTAAAATATAATGTAAAATATAGATCCTTTAAAATATTAATCACACAAACTAAAGTGAACATATTAATTACTGACACATAAATCATAATAAGTATAGGTCTTATATTTTAAACTTAACAATATGAGTATAGTATTATCAAAACGACTATATAGTTGAACGAACGTTACTAAATGAAGTTTTTTGTAAACGCGCCGGTTCAGTGAAGCTGAATAATACAACTGTCACCTACAAGTCAAAAATAATATTCTTGCAGTTATATAAATACATGGTATATTATATGATCAGTAACAAATAATAATATGTGTTTAATTAGTTGACATGATACCGTGTAATTATACAAATCGATTATGTCAGATTAATTATCTTAGGACTCCCCGGTCCGAATATAATAATAATAATAATTTATACAAAACAGCAAGTAGACAAAAAAACGTCGCAATTTTGAATAATAAAGAATTATATATACATACAATATATACTCGTACATAATTTAGTTGTAGGTAATAGGTATACATGGAGCACCTCCAGTAAAAATCATCTATTTACAGTTGATATACTATAAATATTAGTGTTGTAATTTGGATTCGAATATTCGAATAGTCGGATTCGAATAGTTGAAAAAAAACTATTTGTAAATTAATTATTATTACTATTTGAATATTCGAAGGATTCGAATCCCGAATATTCGAATCCAAACTATTCGAATATTTCCCATCACTAATAAATATATACCTACTTTAATATTATATTCGGCAGTCTTATTAAGGTTTTTTAATACTTTATAACAAATATAATAGTATATCCGTACATAATGGCTCGTGCTATTTTGTCAACTGTATTGAGAAGTTGTTGGTATAATTGTCAAAACAGCACGGGACACAACCCTGAAGGTACATTATAATTATATACAAGGCTTAAACGTTAAAAAATGGTTCATCGCTGAATTCGAATAGCGTCTTGATCTTGTAAGCTCTGGTCGTTGGCGTCCTGGTTGTTGTCTTGCTGTAGCTGTAGTTGTCCTTCGGCCGTAGGGGTGGCGTTCGTGTTCAGGAACTTTGCCAGCGACACGGCTGGCGGCTGGCACACGGTTCGGCCTTCCGCTGTCGTAGCCACCGTATATCCGGGCCGACATTCACATTTACCAATTTTCCAGCCTCGGCCCTTGCGAGTACCCTTACCTCTGTCCGGCACCACCCATTCACCGGGCTCGCATGGACCCTGCATGTACAGCTGCTTACACGTAAGATCGGCCCAAGCGATAGTACCCCGTCGATGACCGCACGGGTCTTGTTGCGCTTCTGTTCTCTTGGCGTTTGCGCTGCCGTCTAACTTCCTAGCCGAAGTGCTGGGCGCCGGCTTACACGTAAGCGTTTTGTCACCGCCTACATACGACGTCGAATAAAACGAAGACGATGAATCCGGGTTGTTCGCGCAACCGCACATTCCCAAGTACGATATACCCTCGATGGACGTTTTTACCGTGTCCTGGAACAGTACGATTTGGCCACTGGGACACGGTCCCTGTGTCCCTACTCGATGGCAACCTTTGCCGCCCGGGAAGTAGAGTTTGCCCGCGGTGCACGGAACTTCCACACACCCGACCGCCATTCCGGTGGCCGTGGTGTTCACGCTGTACATGTTGCCCGCGGCGCAAGGACCTCGCGTGTAAGGTCTGTAACACGCGCCGTCGCCGAACCACTTGACGTAGCCTTCCTTGCACGCACATTCCGCTTTATTGCCGCCTGATGGAACCAGGAACTGGTGGCCCGCTGGACACGGCCCGATGCCACCCAGTTGGTAACATTTGCCCGTTCCGTTGTGATAGTGTGGCAGAGACGGATCGCAACCGCATTGGCCCCCAGGTAGAAACACACCACCACGTTCTTGACAAGGTCCCGTCGTATAATGTTCGTGACAGGTTCCTAAAGAATAAAAATCACTTTATTATTTCACTTGTTCGATAACGTACCGAAAATTGTCAAGTTTAGTCCATCAACATTGAAAATATGAATGAAGCGTGACGGGGACTGTATATTCTATTTGTATAAATTACTCAGAGAAGGTATTTCGGTTCTAACCATTAATTTAATTTTAAACACGCAACTATTATCGTGATAAACAAAATGAAAGACCTTATGACATTATGTGTTGGCATTATAAAATACAATTTTCGTTTTATGTTCAAACCTAATATCCTATTATATTGAAATACGAAATATATTCTACACCTTTTATTATTATACCACTCTCAAAATTGTTTTTATTTCAAACACAAAGTTGTATGGGGGGAGACTTTATAATACTGACTACTGTCGTCATTTAAGCAAACCCATTTTATTTAGCGAAATTGCACCACTGTTCTTCCGTCACTTTATTATAATTTTATTTATTATAATTCAAGTCAAAGAACTTCGTATGTTTTTTTGTACGGTTAAATAAAAATAACGCCAACTGCCAAGTTACATTCAATTTATTTATTGAACTATAACGATTAAAAAAATGCATTCAACGTGCATCTATGATAGAAATATATTATGACATTATAGAATAACTGCTTTAGGTTATAAAAATTCGATTTTCTCGGCGAACTGTTATCTGTTGAAACTTATATTATGCATGTGTCTGTTAACTATTTTTCAACAAGGCCTTGAATATTACCTTATAATACTTTGTATTATCCAATGAAACTAAGTATGTTCAAATTATCTATACAGATTAAAATTAAATAATTATATATATCAACTGGTGTCCCATATAAACAGAAATATAGAATAATGCGGAGTTTGTGTTTAAATATTAATTAACTCTAATCGCGATTGAACAGAAATCGTTAGACCTGTTTTTTTGAACTGGGTCATAATGTTAGTCTAAAACGTTCGAAATGATTTTACTATTATTATTTCAATAATACCAAAGAATATGTTTTATGATTTTAAATGATGCCTATTGTATCGGAAAACATCAAACGAATAATATCAATTAACCAACTGTTGTTATGTGTAGTTTGCAAAAAGACCTTGGGCGCTAACAATTTCCCCAGACAAAAGCAGTGTAGTGTATGTTTTACTTGAATATATATATACATAAATATTTCTGGGAAAAATATGAACGTTGGAGTTGTACATGGCAATTGACAAATAGTTTAGTTTGCATGGAATATTTGTGAAAAATGTTATTGACGAACAAAAGGTAATTTCTTACGCGTCAATAAAATAGCTATAAAAATATTCAACAACTGAAATACTGAAGTTTATACATTTCGTAATTATCAAAATGTAGTTATTGGCATGCAAAATAAGTAATGAAGTTGTAATTCAATATTTTAGTGTTACTTTTATCAATATTGATAAACAAAAAAAGGAAGCCCTATGCTTCAATTGCCCTTATAGTTTTTTAAAATTAGCATCTCCAAAATTCAAACTACCCATAAGCCATAAGTCTTTTTGTATAAATAATTTAGAAGTGAAGATTTTCCACAGCAATACCAAATAAGATTGCAGTGCACACGTTTAAACTCGTTCTAATGTCTTAAATTGTTAATACAATTAAGGTATTACAATTAATGAGGCTGTATGTTGTGACTGTTGGCAGTGCTTGTACGCACAAACCGTGGTTTGAAAGTAGGTCAATGGTATTTTTTGACAAGTGGCGAGACCCCTTATCGTCTATTTTTCTTATTTGCTATTTTGCAGTCAACCAAAAACAGAAAACTGTCCTATCAGTGCTCTGGTCGTGCGTTTAGTTCTTACCTGCGGGTGCCCAAAAATAAGACTTGAGTTCAGGAACGTTTTCGCACGCACAGTCTCCGATAATATCGTTGTAGGCGCTGGCGATTAAAAGTTGTCCCTCCGTGCACGGTCCTTTGCTGTATTTTCGATAACACCGTTTGTCTTTGGGCCAAAACAATTGATCTTTATCCTGACAAGGCACCGGATCCTCGCAAGTGCCCCATCGCTCTCGATCCTCCCTGAAAACATACACAATCCAGATGTATTATTTCATACAGCTGACTATATTCGAAACATTAGTTTAACAAAGTATATGAGACTTATTTCAACAAAAAAATCGAATTTTCCGTTGAATATAATATAAAATTGAGAAAAAGGTTTAGACGTTTCGGCGCTCACCTTTCGGGACCGGGCGCAAAGTATTGTCCGTCGTCGCAAGGCGTATCGCTCATCCGGAACAGCTGATGACACCTGGAGTCTCGGACGCTCCGGGCACTTCCGGGCGGGCACGCACACTCCGCCGATCCCTTGCGGTCCGGTCGGGGTACCAGTTCCATCGTCTCCGGACACGGGTAACCACGTTGGAATATTCGGTAACATTTCTTGTCTTCCGGCCAGTACAGAAGCTGCCAGCCGCCCGACTTTTCGAGAGCGCACGGATTTTGCAACGGGTCTGCCCAAGGCGGCGGCAGTACCGCGGCCGACGCCACGGCTGCCAGGCACGCCAGACAGTACAACTTCAGCATTACCTGCGCCACAAGTACATATAAATTACATAAGAATCAGCATTAAAACATGGTATAAGTATTATGTTCGATTAATATGAATTGTGCTCTCGTGGACTTCTTACGATAGTTTTTTTTTTAATACTTAAAAAAATATATTATACACGTATGCGTAAGAATTACCACATGTGAGTAAACGTTACTACCGGGTTGAACGCTTGATTCCTATTTTTATTATACATAAAACATGCTTAGACTGATAAGCGCAGTATTGGTGTGACAAGCGCGAATAATACTGATATACTGTATTGTATATAATAGACTGTATTATTGTTACACTCGTACATATATACAAGTAAACGTTATTGAATGTACACACAAGAAAACATACTAATAAAATAAGTAATATCAAACAAATAAATAGTATTGCTTGTTCTTTTCTCTGATATTGTCGAATGTTTGGTCCATCAAAAAGTCAATAACCAAAAAATTGCACACTCCCCGGACGTTATGCATTTTTTTTTTTTTACTTATATATTATAATATTATGTATTAGATACCAGCAATAAAGTTTATCCAACAAGTGTGTGTGTTTTAACTCTAATAAACACTACACAATATATGTACATACACAGCAGTTTCACCTAGTACTGTTTGGTATTTACACATAAATGAATTAAGAATATAATAACCGGGTGTTTAACATTACTTGGTATAAGTGACTATTGTCCTAGGCTTTAGCTTCTACTAAAACTTAGAATATTGAATATCTATAGTTAGTAATCCTCCCTGTCAATAATATATTTAATTAACCATTTATCTTCACACAAATTCAAAACCCGGGCACTCATACTGTATATATTATATATTCATATTATTATGTACCTATGTACCTACCGCTTTATACAAGCCGTTCTGTCGGTTTGCCCGCGTCGTATGGTATAAAAAGGGTATTGTGTATTCTAGTGTGATACCGATGGACGTCTATCGATATGGAAAAATTGGAATTTACGGTAATTTTGACACACTGAAGTAGAAAAAAATGTGTATACATAAGTATACGTAAAAAGGAAACGAGATTTTCACTTTCGTTCCGTTCGATAAGCAATGACAACGATGACTGTTATGGTCTGTCTGTCAATTCTGCATCGGCCAGCTATATATTTCCCTACCGCTCAAACGTATATGCGGTACACACGTGAGCCGCACACTCTTTTTTTTTTCTGTATTCATTCATGATGATTTCGTCATTGTATTGTAATTTTGTATTATTATTATTATTATTATTTTATCCTTCCACGCTGTTGGAAATGTAAGTACGGTCGCGGTTATTTTTCTTCTCGTGCGCCCTAACCCCTCCAGTAGGTAAAAATACTATATGGAACTCGGTTGCTCCTATTTTAATTACCGGTACATGTACGTAGGTCTTAGGGCGCCACCAGGATATCATATATAACGCGCGGCAAGGTCAAACACACAACACCCTGTATACGCTTATTATAATACGTCATCTCAATTATTGTTGTACGTCTGGTGTCGCTCGAATTAAATTATCATTGTTGTATTATAGGACACACAAAGCTATAACGAGTAAAAATGTGTACAACTACTCGGGTTGAGACAATACACCTAATGATAGGAGAATAAAAGTACATTGTACATAGACATATATTATAGTAACATCGTGTAATGCTTTAAGACTTTTGTTCTTGGTCCTCGGTGCCATTTCCTAATATTATAACATACATAAAAAGTATGAAAATATTTCAATATTTAGTCGGTTAATCTTTGCTTTTAAGATCAGATAAATGATAGTATTTATAAAGTTAGCTAGGAATAAAGTCACCAAAACGAATAAAAGCTATGTTTATGTTATTTAAGTGTTCATAGATATTAAATGGGTACTTGATAAAAATTTAAAAATTATAATATAAAAAAGTTCATATAATTATTCACACACGAATACCTTAACAAATTCAAAAAAAATGTTCATACTTCATGTTTCCCACAAATACGGAAACTTAATTAGATAAATGCTTAAATAACGCCAATTAGAACCCCTAACCGGGTGACCGTTATACCTATTATTACTTATTAATATTTTGAAGTAATAAAAGATAACCAAATTAGCATCTAGTTCTTGACAAAAGTATACAAACACCAAGTACAAGCGCAATTGGACTTAAACCAATCGAGATTACGACACGACTTATGCTAAACACTTAGTCATGCGAATATAGTTTCAGAGCAGGATCTCACAACGCTTTTGACTAACTCGTTTATCTTTACATAACACTACGCCTACAATGCATATGTATTGAATATTTTAACGCACACAATATTTAAAATTAAGTTCGTAAATCATTATATAGATATTATAATATGATGTTACTCGATGAGTATATAGTAAAGCCGAGATAATATTACCCGCAAATCCATTATTTCAAGAAAAAGCCGACAATAATTTTAGCTTCTGTGCAGAGCATCGAAGGCATTGGTTTTAATTGATGTGGGCTTTTTTTTAATCTATTTTAAACTTAATTTATTAAATTCCAACCAATTGCAAAAAAAAATAAGTTCTGTCAATTAGTGGATCAATTTTTTTAGGGTTTAGTGAGATTGGTTTTGTAATACTATATTATTCTAAAATGTTTAATGAAATAAAACCAAATTAAATTGTTTTTGGGGGGTTAAGCTTTTCTGACGCTATGCGCCTTATATAATTGGTATATAACCGATATTGTAGTTTTACAATTTAAATTAAAGCTAGACTATTGCAAAACAAATGAAATGTACTCTCATCGCCTTTTGTCTAATTTGCATCCGCATTAGATTCCAAGTGAAAAGGTGTAATGATTCTATCCGTAGGATTAGGTGGGTTGTTGAATATTTTAACAGCTCTTTAGGACTGTCGATTAACGATTTAATGATGTCAATTGCTGTTACATAATATTCTGTCGAATTATGTCGATAGTTTCTATGTTGTAAAAAAGTTTCAGCGTTATAAATATTTTTTAAAAAAACGGCATCGCTTAAGCATATTTTATAATATTTATATATATATATATATATATATATACATCTGAGTGTGTTCTTGGCTTTATTATAGCGACTACTGAATCCTAAATATTGTTTTTATGCATATTTTGTTAGCTGTTGTCAGTGACCCCTGGACGCTGGTTTTGAACTGCATAGTGTCAACGGACCATGAACTGTTGCATGCGTTTTCGTGGGCGTATAACGTATGTTCAGCATATCAATGCGTAAAGTATTTTATGTTATGCTTGAAACGTGAATATGGAGGAAGTTTACGACTCAATTAGAATGACAAAAACAAAAGCTATGTCTTGGAAATAAATATTCTATCAATTCTCGTCACGCCTACATTGCGTTAAACCAAAAACGTTGGAAAATAATGAAGAACTTAACAGTGTACAAGACATTCAGTAAACTTCATAGTAAGTAAAAATATGTAGCCTAAATTCTAAACCTGTAGAAGAATCCTATGATAAAATAAACACTACTTAATATTTTGGCATAATATCATTTTTTTTCATTATAGCATGTAATAATATTTCAACCTCAATAAAGTCATAACCATTGTAAAATTATCTAAAACCAATCAACAGATAAGGTACGGTATAAGCACATCGACTGGGAATAACTTATTATTTGTAACGTTTGAATAGTAACAGTTAGTCCATTACTAGAGTACCAAGTCAACGGCAATACAGATCTAAGAATATATCCTCTTGCAAAAGCAATATTTTAAATTTTAAAAAGGAAAAATTAAAAACATACTTCTATTGTTTTTACTCTCCATTTAAATTTCCAATCCGATGCGTTCGCTTTGAGTTTTCATAAATAATGAACTTGAAATATCAGTTAACAGTATTATAAAAAACTAAAAAGTCACAGCACGTCTAACGTTGTATTGAAATACCAAACATATAATTTAAAAAATGAGATAACGACCGACGACGGATAAATTATTAATGACTTACGACTTTATGACAATGTCACTACTGTGACTATACGATGGTGCTTTCTAGTTTTCTCATCATACCAACTAAGGTCAAATTATACACACCAATTCGACTGCATGCAGTATTTAGTGTTTTCGCAAAACCTTAGCTTAAAACAAAATAACTCTTTAATTAGTAACCTTTAACATAAATTAATGCAAAGGTTTCGTAACTTCAACTAAACTATTTATTGATATTATATAAATATGTATTTTTTCCTCGATTAATTTATAGAAATAGTTATATTTTATTTTGAACACACCAAACATGTTTTACCGCTCAAATTATCTACATTTCAAATGCATGACGAAAGAATACTAAAATACCTAATTATAGTAAAAATAGTAAAAACGCGTTTCTCAATTGGTTCCGACAAGAATGATCAAATACAACCAACTTCGAAACGTAGGGAAAATATAATATAATTCTGTTTAATTTTAGTGTTATCTATTTTTTATAACACGCAATAGCGCTTACACGTGATTGGCGCGAGAATGAGAAAAACAATCGGGTTCTACTTTCGAAAAAACTCGGTTAACCGGATAATTTACATGTGTTCTGGCCTGAGAGACGTTCGTAAGTGATTAGCAAATAAATAGTATTATTGGTCGAAAATGCGACGTTAAGATTTTTTAGAGATCTTCCAATTTCCATACAAGACAAATACTTATCCGGTAGGACAATTATTATTAATTATTATATTCAAAACACTAGCGGCTAGCAGGAGACTAGTTCAGATTGATTAGTAATAAAAACAAAAACCGGTCAAGATCATTTAAGCACAATTGCTGATAAATCAACATGTCAGCGAATCGTCTTAATATGTGGTTTGACCCGTTTGAGTTGAGTGTTCGTTGACTCAGTGACCGTGATTGCGTAGGCGTTAAAATACTTTTCATCTCGATGTTTATCTACCGTGTAAAATGTGTTTGATATAATTTATATACTACATTATATAATTATATATATCAAACATCTATCTCTGGCAGTTGTTATACAATAGACACTACCGCCAATTGGCGATTACCATACATTAGATAATAGACCTATTGTCATTTGTCTGTATGTCATCAATGGGTGTAGGATTCTACAGAATAGCAACTAATAACCGTTATGATACTTAAATACGGGTTGACTCTTAAAGTTCAATGTTAATCGGGTGTAAAATATGACGCGTTTTCGAGTGATTGCACGTAGTAATGAAACTACAAAAGATAAATGCCAATTTCTAAAAATTTAACGGGAGAGAATTTCTAGTTTGTTTTGAGTTTTCTATCCGCACATAAAGAATTTAAATTATATCCTACTCGATACTCTTTTAACGTTTCCGCGAAAGTCAATTTAGTGTGCAATATTTTAATAGTATTTCACAATCCTGAATCCAGGGTATGCATGGATAATATTCCATAACAACATTATGTTGTGTATTGTATATACAAACTGACCACGATGCAATGGCCAATGTTATGCCAATAAACCTCGACAAAAACGGTTATTATTTTATCTGATATGGTGTTGATGAATATTTAAAAACTATAAACGTCCGAAATGTAATTAGGCAACCTCGAAATTACGTTCTTGTGAACTCTGAGATTGCGTCTATGATTTTTTGTACGGAATAAAGGTTGCTACCGGGAATATGAGGTTATTATTATTAGTATTGTTTTAATAGAATTTATTATTTAAATATTAGTAATTTGTTTAATTATGGTGTCTCGCGTATAACAGTAATTGTTTTTATTTTTTCTCTCTCAACGTTTTTTAATTTTTTTTTTTAATAATTTAAATAAATCCTGAATTACGCATAATTTTTTTTTTCGACTGCGCTGTTTCTGCCGAATTAGATTTGTCTCAATTATATAATAAAGAGACGTGTATATATATAAAGTATATGTGACATAAAAGTAACTATTTTTGCACCGATTGGCACACGTCCGAGTCGTAGCCAGCGAGCGTGTGACGAATACAGCAGGCATACAGGCAATGGACTTATGTAAAACGGAGAAGAAAATGTAACAATAAAATGTGTACAATACCGTCAGGTTGTTTTGTTTAATCGTCAAAATATCGTACTTACGCTGCGTGCACGTGTGGATTGATGATGGCGATGATAACGATGACGATGAGGTGATTTCGACTACGGTCGGTGGTCAAAATGTATTATGCGTGCGTATGACGACGGAGGAGGCGACAAGTCGCGTGCGCTGCACAGATAAACAGAGTATTATGTCAATTGCACCGTCGCGGTACGCGAGTTGTAAGTGTTGTATTATAAGAGTACGACGGCCGTTCACGAGGAACAGGCAGCACAGCCGGCAGCGTTTTAGTACAGTAGTATACAGCTGTAGTTGTAGTAATAATAATACTATACAGCAGCAACAGCGGGCCAACCGAGATCCGGTTACGCAATGGTCAAGGCTTTGGGGGAATTCCCCTCGCACACCGCGGAGGACTACGCGCGGCACCTTCTTGCCGCCACCGCGGTGATCTTGACCCGAAAAATCAAAAGCTTACCACGCCGCGGGTTATTATCGTCATCGTAATATTATTTAGTGCCTCGCTGGGTTTTTTTTCCGCTATACCCACCGCGTAAGTCCTGCTGTTCTTCCTAGTACCGCGTGAGTTCCATACAATGCGTAACGATGACTACGACGTAACCAGGATGTACTTGAAAATTGGCGTATTCTTAAGACAATAAAGGACCTATGAAGGATTTTAAACAAAACGCGTATATTTATTATCTTTTAAACACAACTCTTGTGTTTTTTTATGCACGTTAAGTGTTCACGCATAATCATATTTGTTTGTTTCTACGAGATGAGTAAGTATTTATTCTATTTATAATAATTTATACGAATCGTATAAACGCTCAAACAATTTACAAGGACGTCAATGTCATTCCAAGTAATAGGTATCTTAAAGTGTAATATTTAACTTAATTTTAATGTCACCGCCAATTGTTATTATGAGTTACAAGAACGTCATTCGTTAGACGATAAACAATATGAATATAGTTTTACTATAGTTCTATGTTAAAATATTAAAAGTATTCGATACTCTAACAATTGGAAAAACTAAAAGTAAGGCTCGGTCGACCGCACATCCTGACCACTCCCTTAAACACCCCTGTGTGTAATCGGATGATACTGACAACACAAATAGTCATGAAGATTATTTCAAAACGAGCGTTACATGTTTTTGTACGCAGATTATAGTACTATACATTACAAGAAAATATGGTCATCCTCATCCATCCATTCGGAAGACAGCTACATCTGCTGATGTAGGGTATATAATAGGTCGGGTAAAACTATAATAGACATTCTGTATACAAATTATACAGTACGTAAATTCATAATTTACAGCTCACACATCAGTAGTTATGTTTCAAAATAATCGATTAGCCCATTAAGTAAAAAAACTATTTTTAGTTTAATTTTTAAAAAAGAGAAATTTCAGTCTTATAATTTATAATAACTATTAGTTCATATAAAAACCAATGTACATTTGAAATGTGTTTGACAATAAATGCACGCGTTAAAAAAAAGTCATGTAGAAAATAAACAAAATATATTTGAGAACCTATAACTGCAAGCCTAAGTTACTCAACGGTCTGGTAAACATTATTGAACGTTGAGAGGGTTACTGGCCTTAGGCGCAATAAAAACTTGGGTCGATTATCACATACGATGACGTGATAGGTCGAAGTCATCGGGTCATCCAACTGAAATGGAATAACCAGTTACCGGGTTTAATTTATCCTACAATAGTGGCTATGAGGTCGTTGCTATAAACTTTGGAAATCGTGAAAGCGACGTTTCCCGACTACCAATAAGACATATATTTAATAAATGACTACGACATTTTCAAGGCAAAATCGATGAAATTGTGATTTTTTTTAATCACGCCATCGTCGATTAAAATAACACTTATGAAAATTGAAATCCTTATACACGAAACACTATTTATACGTTATATTTAACTTCTCGATCATTTTACCGACGGACTTTGACAAATCGTTGAGATATACGTATACAAGACAGTTTACAGAGAAAGTTCCGATAGCGATTATGTTTGAAGTAGTTAAAAGCAGCTAGTCCGGCGTTAAGTCGTCATGCTTATTGTAGGAAGACAATATACAAGTGAGTAGGTATTGATTGTAGATAATAATATAACACCCGACAGAAAAGCAAAAAAAAACCAAGGAACCCGGTAGCAATGAGTAAAATAATTAGTAAAATAAACTATACCAGGCGCACGCAATCAGGAATACATAATAGTACATCTAGTCATTGTTTATTATCTCACAAGTACTTAAAAGTAAACTTGAAAATACGCCTAACGTATCTAATTTTGATTTGTATAAGTACCTCCGTGTACCTCGCCAGTCGTTTGTTTTGTATCCGTCCACACGATTTATTATGCACTATTAGATAATTAATGGGTTGTCGGTCGTACCGTTTTATACGGTCATTAAATTACACGCTATACACATAGGTAGGTATATAAAAATATGGCTGTTGCATAATTGCGATTATTTATGTGGGCAACGGCACCTATAATACTGGCGCTATTCTATTATTCAACGAGTGTACATAACAACACGAACGAGTCTTTAAAGGGCGTTAAATTGTAATAATATTGTTGTCGCCTATCAGTTATAAAAATTAAAAACAACGCAGGCTCCGTCCCCGATAAAATAATAATAGAACAGAAGCAAAAAAATAGTCTATGCTCAGCCGTTTGTAAGTCACACTCGGTGATATGACATTTGATTATATCCGAAACAATTAATCACTATTACCCGGTCACTAAATTAACTTGTCAATAAACAAATACAGACAAAACTGATAAACATATTTAAATGTAGTATGTAGAATCCAGCTATAGACAAACCAATATCTAAAGCTGTTATTAGTTATAGTTTGTATTAAGTAACTATTCAGATTCTTAACATTTGCAAAGCCTTGTTTCGGCCATAACTAGTGTTTGGTGATACTATTTTCCACGTGTGCTCTCAAGAGCACGTTATCTATTTATGGTAGATACTACATAGCTATTAAGACATCGCCAGTAAATCCCATTCGTTTTCTATTCCATTAATTATTAAGATTACTATTAGTTTTTCGTCTTAAGATCAAAATTATTTTGTTGAACGTGTCACAGCGTTAATGAAAAGTCGTCGACCGTCGATTGTTCTAAATGCCTACTATCGGATTTTTCGTCGTTTTCCAATTGTGTTATTTTTTCACTCCCGTCCGACACTTTTCACGCCGGACGAGAGATAACGACCATGATCTAGCACTGCACGTTTTGAACGCGGCCCAAACGGATATTTTTAATTAATATTTAATTATCCCCTGCATAGAAAACATTTAGTCTGGTTTAGAAAGTATTTGTAAAAATCACCGAGTAATTTACAGTAGCGTAAATTCAAAAACGTTCATTAGCCCAAACGATGACAAGAGAAATTACAGCGTACGGTAAGTCGTGTAAAACATTTCATCTCCGGTAGTACAAGCTACAACTGCACAATAAATTGTATTATTGCGTATAGCCAAATCCCAAACTGAAAACAATCGATACATTCAGCAATATGAAAGAAAGCAGAAATTAATGTAGACATGGCAAGCTTACAGTAAATAGTAAATTAACATGAATAATGTGTCCAGCAGCTAAATGTCCATCATAAATCGCCATTAACTAACGGAATATAATGTAATGTACCCATGTATTATGATTTAAACCGCACGGCCTTGACAAAGCACAGTACGGGACTATAACTCCTTCAACTCCCATGTCTTGCTGATCGTCGTCATGAGATTAACCTTAATTTTGTTCATAAACTTTTATCTGGTGCAATCGATTCCCCATCTTTGTTAATGCTGCTCAACTTTAGAGTCCCGTCTCGTTCAACTCGATTTCATGCCCATTTGTTGTCCCTTTTTCATCCACTAATTATTCCTTTAACTCCCCTATGTCTCGTCTCATGCGTATTGCTAATGAGGACCCATCGTTTTCAATGTCTTAAATTGTATAGCTTTATAGAAGTATTACTTCTTTTTGTAAATAAATATAAATATAAATATTACTGTAAATTTTGTTTTGGGCACTTGTGCCTGTTAAGTAAATAAATAAATAAATAAATAACACAAACATCATATTTTAACTGTATAAAGATATCAGATTGAATAGTGCGCGACGTTTGATGGTCACAAATTCAAAATAAAGTATTGTATATCTCTCAGACTAGAGAGTACACTGGGTTTGGTTTACATAAAAATCTCTTAATCCTAACATTGAACTTAATTAACCTCTATCCATGAAAGATAATAATATGACCTATGCGTTCTAAAGTGCGTTACTTTATAGTTTATACAGTTTTCAAATACAAAATAACTAAAAAAAGAATGTAAGTTACCCCTACACACGCTTTTAACTTGCACCAGCTGACAGTGAATATAACATTTAAAAAAAGATAAAAAAACGTGTTTTACTCGAACTTGAACAATTCAAAATATAGTATTATTATAATTTATATCATTCTCTCGGGCTAAAACTATATATATTGTTATAATTTATAGGTAAGGTTTTGTAAGCAACGTTAATGAGTTTCGTTGACGTTTGTTTAAATTCAGGGTTATATAAACGGATAGTACCGTTTTACTCCATAACTCAACAATGAATATAGCTTCAAATTTAAATAATGTATTAAAATAAAACTGCAAACTCCTTTGTTATAAAGACAAAATGTAAAATTTGAGATATTGTTTAGGTAATTCAAATCTGAGGTAGATATTTATAAATACTACAGTATGTACTTCTACAACTAGTACAGCTAGATATCTTTTATACATTTATGTAATAACATTACATATTGTGGGTATTTGATGAATTGGGTAGAATTGAGAGTTATTGATACATTTTACCCATTTTTGATTGAATTCAAATGTATTTCTCACCCTTGCAAAGAAAAATGAGCACAATTAAACAATATAATCACAACCAAAATAAATGTATATTTCAGACCGATAAAACAAGTAACAGTACATTCCACTCGGCGCATCTATCTAAAATCTAAAGACACGAGTCGTTTCTGTTAGGTCATCCGTATAGAGATAAATTGTGTAACGTATTTCGAATGAAATGATTGTCAAACTGGCTTCGAATTCGCGGCGCGGCGGCAGACGATTATTTAGTTTTTATACTGTTGTCTTGTACACCTTGACACAAGATTTCAGTATGAAAAAACCGTTAATGCCGAGTACGAATTATAGGAAAAGTTCATCAGCGACTTATATATTTTTCATATATTTACTACTA